AATGGAGTTAGGTGAGTGGCTAACTTATGGCAAGTGGCATTAATGACTTGACTGTGCCATCATTTAGAGATAACTGTAGTATCTTGAATCATAAATTTACTCCCTTTCTTAAAAAAAGCTACTTTAAGCTTGCATGTGGAGGTTCCTTATTTTTGTTCTTTTCCTATCATGCGTATCCTCCAATCATTGAAATCCTGAGCTCTCACACTGTACGTCTGCTCCTTTTTTGAGCACTCAACCATTGTTTCCATGACTTACTCTTTTCCCACACCCTGCAGCTGTCTCTATAGACTTACCTAAGTTTGTTTTCACTTGTTGTCAACAACAGCTGAGTTTGTATTACTTCCATGTTGCAAAAAAATGCCTCCAAAGTGCCACTCCCAAATTAAACCTGTTTGCTTCCGCAGTGTATGTTTGTGTGTGTTTTCAACATATTTCACAGTTCTTGGTTAAATTACTTAGCGTCCTGCCAGATTTTTAGATGAAAATTTTCATAAGTTGCAAGAGGTCCTTACTCATTGCAAGTCCTGAATGATGTTTACCAATTGATCATAGCTTTGAAATTTACACATTATGGTTTTGCAAACAATATTGAAGAGAAACCAACTTTATAACCTTGAAGAAATCATCAACATATGGTTCAAGCATTATGGTAACCAGTTTGTAAGCTCAATAGCTCATTTCACTCTCAAATCATCCTGTTGTTTCTCTTACTTGTGTAATGCTAAGTCACAGGTGCTGTACAAGGATAGTGCCTTATTCGAGCAAATACAGTATCTTGTTCTTCATCAACCACATCAGAACAGAATAATATTCCTGCATCACCTAGCTTGGGGTGAATTTATTAGTGGCTTGAATTGAAGAACAACATAACTTTACAACTTGGATAATAGAAGTGAGTTTATATAGAGGTTCAGCACTTCTTTAGTTCTTTCAATACTTTGTTGCATGAATACCTGTGGTCTGCACAGATCTTTCCTATTGCACTGAGCAATATTAATAAGCTCCTTGTCTATGGTGGAAAGGCAGTTTCTTTACATTGTTCAAGTGAAGTAAAATATGTTTATGTGGACATTCTGAATACAGTGCCACTATGGTCATTAATGCACAAAGTTGTGGTCGATTTACTCCAAAAAATAACTATTGTGAAATTGGCCACAGGTTTAGGAATAGTGTTTGAATGCCTTTTCACGCGGTTTAAGTGTAAACAATTAGAAGTGATCACGCAGAAGTTTGGAATACAAAAGGCCACAAGAGATTGTTGATGTTTAGTATTTTGCATTGAAATATTTTACAATAGGGATTTTGATAACAATATTATAGCTGTAATTTGGAAACATTTTTTTTATTCTTAAGAATGGGTGAAACATGGCATTAGCCCAGGTTATGTCCTTTTCGTCTCCAGTTTGTGATGCAATGCCATGCCTCAGGCATGAACCACAAACAACATTTGAAAATCAGTAATGCATTATTCATGGTGATGATATAATAATTCTAGCACAGTTTTTTTTAAAGAGTTAATGCAAAAGTGTGTGACTATCAATTCAGACACCAATTGTGATTACTGAATTTTATGAGTCTGCCTTTTTTTTTGTCTCAGAGTCTGGTTCAAATGAATGCCATAATTAGCTATGAATCATGGTTTGTTGTGCACTGAATTAGATTATTACAATACAAGGGAAGAGGTGTTTTTCTCGGTCAAGATGCCCTGGGAATGAGCCTGATTTTTTTATACTTGTTTGACAGTATGCTGACGCACAATGTAGATCTGCGTTGATCCACTGAGGCTTCATTGACAGAAGCTGCAGTTTTACTCTGAATTGCTATACTTTACTTTAAAATGCATTAACTTACCATGCTGTCAGTGTGGTCAAAAATAAATATGTGCTTTATGTAATGGATCAGTCCTGCACCACTTGCCAGCTTTTGGTTTTGTATATGTACTCAGTAAGAACAAACCTTCACCATTGTTAGGGAATTTCTGTGCATTAGCTGAGAACTATGTTCAGCATTTTACCTAAAACCATGTAACGATCCTGTGAGATCAAAGAAATCTAAGCTGAAAAATTAGACTCTTTTATTTGATACCTCCCACATCAATCATGGTGCATTTCACAAGTGCAGTTTGCACTTTTTGTTGTTGTGAACAACAATCAGGTGATCGTAGTGTGACTCACTGCTGTACTGAGCTTGATTCTGGGTTACAGAGAACGGGGAATAAAGGCGGATATTCTCAATTCTCCCATTCAATGAGCACCTGACTCCTATGGGGGCAAGTGCCAAGTGGAGGTTGGTATAAATCTGAGGGTGTCGGCATTGACTTCTCTTTTGCATTTCTTCGAAGTGAGCCGTAGATTAGTTTTTGTGGAGGCCAGAGTAGGTTCCTTTCCAGCCCTTGATCCAAGGAATGATGCATCATGTTCACAATATGAAGAAAAAACATGTGACATTAACATTTCATACCATTTAGCACTGTTCAGCCATTTTATTGCTTACTATGGTGCTGTGACTGGTGGTGAAAACAAATTCCTGCCGAAAAATCCTTACAGAGACAGATAGTTCAACATCTCTCTCGGGGAGTTTTCTATCTCGTATAAATTCAACACCACTTCAAATTTAAAATGAAATGAAGTTTTACAGTGCCTTGCAAATAATAATAATCTTTGCATTTGATATACCAAAGTTTTACATTGTGTAGCTGTCTCAAAGGGCAGACCAGTCACCATAGGTAGGGATTCTTCCCACTCAACTCGCATTAATTCTGCAAAACTTGGTGGAAAACTCTTGTCAAAACTGCAGGATCACTGATGCTATTCACTCACACTGGAATGCTGGTGTTAGTAGACATCATCAATGTTACAACGTTTAGCAATATGAGGATTTTTCGTGTTAAGTGCGTAGGGGGGAGGTGATGATGGCTTTAATAGAATCGTGGAAATTTCACAACATAGAAAGAAACGATTGAGCCTATGTGTCTGCACTAGGGCAGTTATAACTCCCCACAGGTGATTTTTAAATCATTTGGATACTAAAATGATACAGATTTCTTAATTTATTGGCACATAAATAAGAACTATTGGGTGTAATTTACAAAATATGCCAAACAGATTTGATTGCTTTTAATTGCAATGAAATTCACAGCTGGTGAATCATGAATTTGAAGCTGGCAAAGTACAAAGTTGAGGTTGCTATCACTTTATCCAAAAAAAACATGTCTAATGAATGGGTTACATTGAGGTGCCAAAGTTTGGACTGATAAAGGGGAAACTGCTGATTGGAGAAGGTCTATCTACACCAGTGTCAAGAACAAGACCTCACCCTTGAATTTTCTCTCCACAAACTGCAAATGAAAGCAAGTTTTTTTTCCAAAAAAAAGTTTCTCACCAAGGACATTAAGCCAGGATTGTTTATTGTTTGCATTGCAGCTTTTCATTAACAAGAGCAAACCAGACCTCAAAGAGGAGATGTTTAGTCGATACGTGCTTCAATATGATGTGCTTTACAAATTATACTGAACAACTTATATTGATTAGACAAGATCAGGTTATGTATGTCCCTAAATACTTCACAACAAATTTCTGTAAAGTGTAGTGGCTGTGTATTTGTAGGTGAATTCAGTAGCCAATTTGTGCACAGCAATGTACCAGAGTAGCCATGAAGTGAATAATAATAATAATAATAATAATCCTTGCATTTGATATAGCGCTTTTCACGTCGGGAGGACGTCCCAAAGCGCTTCACAGAACATACTGCAAAGTGAATTGACTGTATATTTGTGGGCGAACGCGGCAGCCAATTGCGCACAGCAATGTCCCACAAACAGTCGTAGATTGAAAATGACCAATTTATTATTGTTTTTGGTTTTTGGAGGGATTATTATTAGGCGTGTGGAGTAAGGAAACTTGCCCAAGGTTTCGCCCTGCCTGGAATTGAACTCAGGTCTCTCGCTTGCAAAGCGAGTGCTCTAACCACTGAGCTAAATATAAATTGGTCATTTGTGGAGTCCTGTAGCTCAGTGGTTAGAGCACTCGCTTTGCAAGCGAGAGACCTGAGTTCAATTCCAGGCAGGGCGAAACCTTGGGCAAGTTTCCTTACTCCACACGCCTAATAATAATCCCTCCAAAAACCAAAAACAATAATAAATTGGTCATTTTCAATCTACGACTGTTTGTGGGACATTGCTGTGCGCAATTGGCTGCCGCGTTCGCCCACAAATATACAGTCAATTCACTTTGCAGTATGTTCTGTGAAGCGCTTTGGGACGTCCTCCCGACGTGAAAAGCGCTATATCAAATGCAAGGATTAAATTAAATTATTATTATTAACACCTCTATGCCCCTGCTTTGTTGCAACCCCCCCCCCTCCTTTGTTTTGCATCATTAAATCCTCTTTAACCCATCATCCCCTGTCCTTTACCCCATTTTCTCCTTTGTCTTCCTTGCCTTTCCTCCCCCCTCTCTGTTAGCCCCTAAAAAACCTCTCCCTCCCAACATGCCCCAGGTCTGACAAAGGATCGTGGACCTGAAACGTTGACTCACTTTCCTTTCTCCATGCTGCCTGACCTGCTGAGTGTTCCTAGTGACTTTTGTTTTTGTTTCAGATTTCCAGCATCTGCAGTATTTTGCATTTTGATCAATTTATATGGTAATGTTGGCCAATACACCAGGAGAAACTCCCTCCTCTTTTCAAATAGTGCTGTTGGATGTTTAACGTCCATCTGATCCTAACATCCACTTTAACATCCAACTGGCCCAAGGTCCTGGCACTCTGAATGTCTCCTCCAAAGGATGGCATCTCCCAGTACTGCATTGAAGTGTCATCTTACATTATGAACTCAAAAGTCCCGACGTGAAGCTTAAACTCAAGGCCTTGTGACCTAGAGATGAGAATGCTGCCAACTGTGACATTATAAATACAGGCACAGCCACACAGGATTTAATTAACAATGTTACCTGAGCATTTAAAACAATTCAAAGATTTTATCACTTTCTCTCATTCAGGCATGTGTTAGGAGGCAACACCATATGTGTGTGGAAGAGATCTTCCAATTCAAGAATACAGATTACAAGGTAACTCACGTATGCTTCCATTTGGTGCCGACCAATGCTTTCAAATGATCCGTTTTTTTGTTTTGTCCCAAAGTTGAGCAATGCTGTCTTTCCTCGACTCAAAACACATTTTGTAAAAAGTTCCTAGAAAGACAAATACACTAATTGTGTAACAAATGAAATTAGAGCTAAAGTTAACCATTACCACTACTTGTCACATTTGAAACCCATTGAGAGGAGCTTTAACTGGGTTGGGAATCATCAAAAGTTGGTGGGCTTGTTGAACCCAATGGAATTTTTTTGTCTTCTAATTTCTTATATTGGATTATTCTATTTCATTAATCGGGAATGTGTGATCTGTTACCTCCTGATACAGTGCCATTCATAACTGTGGACAAGATTAAGATTACAGGGTATTTGCAATGCTGTGTTGGAGATATTCTATGTAAAAATAGGTGCTGTATCAAAGCAAATTAATATTAGCGTCATATCTACTCCAATTGTACAGGGTGTTTTCATATATTATCTGTGTTTTGCAACAACAACAAACTGCATTTTACAGCAGTTTTTCCTTATGCTGTAGCACATACCTGACTGCGTGATTCTCAACCACTTATTCTGGATTTTATTTCTGTGATATCTCAGAAAGGAAAAGATGTCTGGGGCAAATTTGTCATTGAAAAGTAAATCAAACACCATCAGAGAATCTATCTGTTAATAAATAATCTTCCCATTTTCTTTTGTTTAATTTCCTCATTATTTTACCAATTGCCACTCCCTTGCAATCCCAACACTATCCTTTGAATGAGAGGGAAAGTATTAAAAAATCCCAATGTGATTTAGGCATGGTAGCCTTAAACTTTTTTTTGTGATACTTAAGCTCTGTTCCCGCTGTACATATACTTAAATGTAAATAAACTTACTGCCAAATTACCAGAGGTAAGATATAAATACTGTAGCCTCCAATATAGGACCAATAAACTCACCAATCCTGCTCACAAAAATAGATGTTTGTAGATGACAAGAGATTGAAAAGTCTTCATTTCATATCAGGATGGTCTTTGGGGGAAAAAAAACGCACAGTACAAGCCACCAGCTCCACACTCAATGGACCGATATTTTCGCTCACCAGTGATTAGGTGCTCTTCTCAGCAAAAAGCGATTCTGATGAGAGATGCACTTCATCAACAAAACAAACGGTCATTCCACTTCACGTTATATTCTGTTAAGCACTTTGAGACGTCTCTCTGATATGAAAAGTGGTACACCAAATGTAAGGATTATTATTATCCATGGTGATTTGAAAGGGAAAATACTAGCATGCATATTTAGTGTATCATTTTGTACTATTTCACTTTTTGCACAGCCATTTATTATTCAAGAGATAGCCTATGCCAAACTTGAATAACAAACTTGATAAAATACAGATAACTTAGGGTTAGGAATTTGGTTTGGCTTACATCTCAAGCCAGCAGATGGGTTCTCTCCAAGCTTTAATTATTTCAGCAAGGAGTTGGTGCAGATTGCCTTTGCTGTTTACTTTTTTTCCTTTTGTTTTGCTTGGTACCTCTTCAGACAGCCCAGATAAGATAGGCATTGAAGGGAGTAGGGAGGTGAATTGCGGGTCGAGCCAATGTATCACCATTGTTTGACGCACCTTGGCAGTCCCTCAATGTGTTGTTTAACCGTGTGGAACTTAGGCATCAGGTTCGATCTCCAGTTTTCCTTCCTCCCCCACATCCAATCCCTGACCAGCACCATTTTCTTCCACCTCCGCCACATTGCCCATTTCCGACAATATCTCACCCCAAAAGCTGCCAAAACCCTTGTAAATGTAATTTACAAAATTACATTTGTATAGCATCTTTTACTTTGGAAAGATGTCCCAAGGCGCATGACAGTCAAGGATTTGCACCGGAGCTGGAGGTTGGAATCCAGAGTGGTGGAAGGCAGAGTGGGTGGGAGGGTAGCTGAAGGCATGGTAAAGAGGAAGGTCTTGAGATGGGCCTTGAAGGAGGCAAGGGAAGGGGCAAAGTGGAGGGGCTCTGGGATAGAGTTGCAGAGGATGGGGGCAGAAAGGCTGGTCCAACTGCCAATGGTGAGGCGGACAGGGTTATGGAGCAGGCCAGTGCCCACCGAGTGGAGGGAGCAGGCAGATTGGTGTGGTTTTAATAGGTCGCAGAGTTAGGGAGGAGCATGGCTGTGGAGGGCTTTGAACCTATGCCGTCGGATGACATCACCGAGCAGGAGCATATAAATATTAAAGAGGAGGGGATCAAGGGCGGAGCCGAGGAACGTTGCATGTGACGATATGAGAGGAAAAGCAATTGGTAGATACAAAACATTTGCTTTGTGAAGTGATGTCAGTGGCACTTCCTGTGCACAGCATGCCTGTGCAGCACAAAGGAAGTGATGTTAATGGCATTTCTGTTCTTAGCACGCATGTGGAATACACAGGAGATTATATCTGCGATCATTCCTGTGCGTAGTCGCATGTGTGCAAAATACAGAAAGTTACATCAGTGGTTTCCTGACAATTGGATTTAGGCTATTTTTTACAGCGAGCAGCTTTAGTGTACTGTGCTTCTGGTTAACATGGGTCTAAGGTATAAGTGAAGCATTGCTGGACTGAAGGGAACGATAACAGGGTTCCCCTGTACTTTTGATTCTGATAATTTTGATAACTTAACCAACATGAATGAGAATATGTGGTTGATATAATTGATTCATAGTCCAGTCCACAAAAATAAACGGTACTAACCAAAAACCTTCTGTGATTAGTTATACCGTTTTTATGAGTACAATACAATGTCAGCCCCTATCTCTTCCCCAGTTTGTCTCCACAGTGATGGATCCTCTCTCTTACACATCGTGCCAGCTCTTCCCCACCCCCTTGGGGCCATCCCTTGTCTGACTCTCTGTTGCTCTCTCCTACTTCTGCTACTCCTATCTATTATTATTTCTTTCTGCCTCTTTCTCCCCCATTCTCATTTTCTCTGGGTTGCCTCTTGATCTCTCTTATGCTTATTTTATCTCTAGCTCTCTCTCTCTCCACTCATTCTTATTCTCTCTCCCTCTGCCTCTTCATTTTTTTTCACAATCTGTATCAGTCTTTCTTTCTTGCTATTTCTGTGCCCCCCTCGTTCATTCTTGCTCTCTCTCTCTCTCTCTCTCACTCGCGCTCTCTATTTCTCTCTTGTCTTCTGCCTGTTTCTCTCTGTCATACTCTCTATCACGTTCTCAACAAACAATGTGTAGAACACTCTTTTATTTTAGGACTCCAGTTACACAATCCAATAGTCACACCAAACACTCTCTACACAGTGCTTCCTGCTTTCCCTCCCTCCTGATCTCCTTCCATTGGTCCTAGTCAATTGGTCCTTATTTATTAATTAGTGTCCAACACCCTGTAACACTGTAATGTAGGTGTATCAGATCTCTTTTACTAAATTTGTTGCCTGTAAGACTTAGGGACAAAATATCCCTCTCCTGGTTGAAATATGCAGTGATGGATTCCATCAACTTTACTTTCTGATCTCAACAAGTTGCGGTTGAGTGAATGCATCGTTATCTGATGTGTAATTATGGCCTGTGCTCTGCAGAGCAGCATCACTTATGCTAAGAAACATGAGAAAAACTCCTGCTTTGCTGGTTCCTTAGGAAGTCTTCTTTATATCAAATCACGAACGTGTCCAATAAAAGGGATCACCAGACTTTGTTTTTAAGGTTGACGTGACCTGCAGTAGAGAAATCTACTCCTGCATCAGAGCACACAGCTCTCCAGATTACCTCATACCTTGAACTCAGATACTCAATTTGTATATAATAAAATTTAACTTACAGAGCAGAAAATCCAGTTATTTACCATGTGATGAGAGTGGAGTAATATTCAACCATGTTTTAATTGACTGGCGGTATGACCGAGTTATGACCATTTCACAGCTTCTGAGGGCAGTGGAATGCAATTCACTGATGAGTGAGGTAGACCATTGACCATAAATCAAGCTGTCCACATTCCCAAAGGAGAACCGTCTTCATGAGAAAATACTTGGCAAACATTTGCCTTAAGAAATTCACGATGCAATGATATAAATCACATGAAAGAGTACCAATTACATGTGTTGTGAAAATTGATGCACAGTACTCTCTCCTGGCTTGTCTTCCTCTCTGGAAAGAGAAAAAAAAGTTGCCACATGCTTTTCTAGGAAGCTGTATGCCTTTAAATAAGATTTGTTTTATTTTAAAAGTGTTTATTTCAGATCCTCTGCAGGAAGTGGTCACGAGGTCACATTTTTTTCTGTGAACTATGCAGTCAGTTTCAATGTGCAACCTTAAAAAAAACCTAGATAATGCTAATAATTCAAATTCATCTCCAGCTCTGTTTATACTTTCAGATCTCATGAATCACATTAAGTTCTGGTCAAATTGACCTGAACTGACTGGTTTCCCAGGGTTTACACAGAGGGCTGCCCCCAAGTTGCTTGTCATGAGATGGAGGGGAAGTACATCTCTTTGACACCTAGATAGACTTTTTTTTACACACTGTAAATTGTTAGCCGATTTGCATCAGTATTTAATACTGCTTTAGTAAAACTGTTTTGCAGCTCCAAATAAATCTGCAATAGACATAGGAGAATTTACTCTAATATCTGATAAGTGTAAATAACGCCCTCTATTCCTCTGACTGTGCTTTCAGCTCACAAGAAATGTGAAGTTACAGCACAGGAATAAACTGGACTATAAAGTACAGGCCTTTCTTGAGATTATATCTTTTTGTGATTGTGTACAGCCCTTGCAACTGTTCAGCATAAATGCTCACAATATTCTGCTTTCTTATTTTTCTCAAGCTGTCAGTGAGTTGATGCCAGAAAAAACTACTCAAGGTCTAAGCCATACGATCATTGTCTTAACATTTAAGACTGTGCAGATTTAAGAAAACAATCAGTACAAACAGATTGCAGAAAACATGCCATCGCTTTCTGGGGGTAATAATAATCCTCACTCCACACGCTTCTGTTTAC